AACGATATAATAAACAGTTTATAAAGATGGAACCACTTGGAGAATTTGATGTTAAGTGCTTAGGTAGACATTTAATGTGTGGGATAATGCATACATAACGATGAAATATGATCGTATGACACATCATTATAACTTTACTTCCAAGAATATTGCTAGATGTAAAGTGCGAAGACATCTCGGCAGTAAAATTGTATTGTCAATATAGTGCACTCCTAGAGAGTAATGTTGCTTCAAGCCTTACTTATTTGATTCTTCGCTGTATGCATTATTAGGTATAAGGCATACTTATTAAACAGCACTCACATAACTTATAAGTTGAGTTATTTGAATACCATTTTGATAAGGTATTTTACACAAGATTCACAAACGAAGTCATCAGCAAATTCAGAAGTTCTAAAAACAAATCCAAAAAGTATTATTGTACCAACATGACAACATAAAATTACAAAGAATAACGAAGTACAAAAGTATACAATAAATATACAACAAAGGAATCTGCTGAATTTTACATCGACCGATGGCCACACGTCTAAACATGTCCAAGCCTGTACATGTTTATAATTTAAAGCTGATTCACGGTTTTGTGAGCAATTTTTTTTAATAACTTTATTTGAAAGATGTCTTTCTCTTTTCCTTTGGTAAGTTTGTCATTTTCGCATTGTAAGTTACAAATTAGCACAGGTAAGAAAGTGATTTAATTTACAGTAAGAGTTTTTAAATACACAGTCAAGCTAAATACAAATGCTGTAGTCTGAGCAGTATATATTTAGATATTAGTTTAATTAACTAGATGGTTTTCTTAACGCAACAACATATCTTAAATTCCAAGTACCGTGAGATACTTTTTAACAACATAAAGAGCTTTTTGTTAACACTTACAAAATACTTTGTTTAAACAACTTTACTTTGTTTAACAACATAAAGAGGTTTTTCTATTTATCCCTGTTTTTTTTTACTTCATTGTCTATCAGCTGATATTCATTGTTGCATGGTTATCTATGAGGTTTAGTGTTATTGGGAATTTGTTGTGAGTAAGATTCAACATGGTGTTTTCACAAGCTCGAAGAATATGTATTGTACATGCAAAGTAAATCATTCGTTTCATTCCAAGAACAGTTTTAAATAAATTGCCCTGTTGTGTTTTCAGTATAGTCATACAACTGTCGAAATGTAAGGAAACTGGATCTGTATAAAACAAAATAAAACGTAGACCCACAATACATACTCTATTTGTCCGACAATACATATAAGCAATGAAGTCAAGAAAACAGATATATCCTTATATAAGGTGGTTTTGTAGTTAAAAAGTCTGTCACCGTAGTTGTAACAATATAGGTTGCATTTGAAAAACACCCTGTACTTGTTCAACCAAGGTTTTAGGGACCTATGAACATGTTGAAAAGATATAAAATAGTTATTTATAGCATAATTCGCAAACCTAACTGGGATATGTAGAACTTTCTTTTCCCTCTCAAGAGAGAAAATACTTTCAAATTCTTAATTGTATTTTATATCAATATGTTTGCAATACACATTTGGAAGCCACAAGAGTATTTCATGTTTAATTAAAGATGCAACTAAAATGAATACAGTAAAGGAGTTTGGATGCTTTAAATGCATCCATTATACTCTTTTATGTCCATCCTCACAAAGTCCTTCTTACATAGGCTTAAAGGTCTTTTACATACGATCTGTTTCTTCGTGGGATGTTTCATTTTCGAAATGTTTAAGACGACAGATGACTGACAGATCAGAATGAATCTGAGGCTCAGCGTGGATTGTTGGCTGTCAGACTTGGTTTTACTACTGAAACGTTGAAACCGCTTGTATAACACGCTGAACATTGAATTATTTTAAAGTTTAATATGGTATATGACAACCGTGATCATATCATATTTGATCATGTATCACATATCAGATCATATTTGTCACCGATGAAGTACCAGTTTTTAGGTTAATTAGGATAATTAGTTGTAAAGAAATCAACATCATCTTATTATTTATCAAGTGCGATTTGGACATGATTAAGTGTTTATTTCGTGACTATTCAGAAGGTATACAACCCATATTTTTAAATGCCATTTTTGTTTGATGTTAAATCAATTTTATTTATATTATTCATTGCTTTCTTATACATTATATTTGTTATTGGGTTTGGTGGCCAAACAAAATACTTAGCTTTTTTAGCGAATTTCCCTAGGGAAGTAGCTATTACCGTAGGTCTCATGGTAAGACTTAGGCCCGGGACCGATTTACTTTTTCATTTTAACGTCCCCAGAGGCCAAAAATACCATTCGTTCAAATTTTTATATATGTATATATATATATATAGGTATATATATATATAGATTTATATATATATATATGTGTCCGTGAACACGATAACTTGAGTAATTTTTATCCGTTTTTGATGAAATTTGGTTTGTAGGTGTAAGGCGGGATAAACTTGAATGAGTTCGCGATCCAGCATGATCGGACCATGGGAACAGGGTTTTATGGGGGGTTTTATGGGATAAAAATTGGTTTTTCTCACTTCTTACCCTCAAAACACAAAATTTCCCAATTTTTCTCCAAACCTTCTTAAAGAGCTTACAAAAACAAACAATTCAGTATATCAAAGTGTTTTTGTACGATTATTGGTTACGGAGAAAACTAAAAAAATGATAAATTTAAAATTCCCATGTTATTCTTATGGAGAATATTGTAAAATGTTGTAGTTTGCTTGTTTATGGATATATTTTGAACAAACTTGGCAAATTTATTTATTTTATAGTAAGCTATCAATATTTTACTAAAAACACACTACTTTATTAGTTTCCTTGTAGCAGCAAACCTAGGTACTCGTTAAACCTAATGTTATTTAAATAGATCAATTGAAAATCAATTCGGCCAAATGGAAATTCGCTTAGACGGCAGGTTTGCTGCGGCGGGGGTATTCTAGCAATAAGTTAATCCGTTCTTGGAAACCCCCAAATTAAATTTTGCTGCAAACATAACACATTTTAAAATCATGAAGTTAGGAGAATATATATATATATAATATGTATAATATCATCAACATTGTATAAAAAACATACAGTCTCTAATTTGGAGTAAAGTAGTTTTAAATATTCAAGCCAGGAGATGGAGTAAAACGTTTTTGAAAATGTTATCGTAGATACACTCTTTCTTGCTTATTCATGGAGGAATTTGCTGAGTCAACCAATGACATAAGCACGTTTGAATAAAACATTTCTTTTAGATATCTTACCTAAACTGTCTTAGATTTCATAATTTAAATAACCAATAATTAAATGAACTATTTTAAAAACTAAATAATTTTAAAAATAGTATTTAATTTGTAATGAATGAAAAGAAATTTAATGAATTAAATGAAAAGATGTCCATTAACAACCAACTTTGAACTAAAAAAAAAAATAATTGTTCAATAATTATAAATTACAATAAAGCTGTTTAAATCTTGTTTTGGATACACAATAGAGTTGTGGTTATGTTTCTATGAGTGGTTACCTAGCTAACTGAGTAACATAATTGAAAAACTACTTTAATTGAGAAAAAACTTATGATAAGAGTTTATTTACTCACTAGGGCTTCAAGTGACTCTTTTCGACCCAAGCTCAAGTTTACGATCGAAAGGTTGAACCATTAAAAAGAATTCGACAATAAGATACAACCGATTTAACAATTTGATGCATAATTTAGATGTATGCGTTTGATTACAAACGAAGTTTTTCGACTCAGTTTACAATAGCAGATTTTTGCTCCCTAGGGATTAAAAAGGCTTTTTTACTTCCTATGAAGTAAAAGAGCTACTTTAGGTCATAGAGATCTATGCTTTAGACCCGCATCTTTTAAAAATGGCTGATTTCGCAGTAGTATCACAACAATTTTAGTTTTTTGTGTTTTACCTAATAATGTGAACCATAGTAAACCATATAAGACAGATATTTAGTCGAGTTTAACTAAGCCTCTTTTTAATGCAGAAAATTCAATCATCCCGTTAACACTATTTTATGTCGAGTTTTAGATTTGGACCCGAAGAATTAGTAGTTTTTTTGTAGTAGCTTTGTAGCTTTGGCAGCATCAGCCACCAACATTTAAATATGCCCTTTAAATATACCTTATGTGAATAAAAATAAAATAAAATAATTATATATTTGGCCTTGTGGAACTTTTAAATTTAATTATACATTTCATTATTAATTGCCAATATCTCCAATATAAGTTATACGCTTTAAAGATAAACTTTTAAACCACATACTTTAAATAACACAAGACAATAATAACACTAATATAATATTAGTTTCTTATATAGAAGTGCTTTAAGAAATGCTTTGGATAAAAATATGTTTAAATGCACTGAGGTATTTAAACACTTCCTTTATATCCATATCAGTTTTTTAAAACGTAATGCATAAATGAAGAAGGAAAATAAATAAGAGGCTCAAGTTGATATTTTGTCGTTGGGATACAACATTAAGAATTTCCAAGCTTTCAGCATTGCAATATTTATTTAGCTTTGAAAAATATATACTATATTGGTTCTAAATATCATAAACATTACTCATATATCCACATCGATGTAATATATACATTTATGTATATCCATGAGGGATGTATTATTTACGCTTACATCAATGGCCATATTTTGTTACAATTCAGAACGACTTTACATTCACTTTGAAGACATTTTCACAGTGGCTTTGTAAACAGTCATTTTGAGCTGTTAGATGAAGACCCCTAATAAAAAACTACTTATTATTCGATTCTAATTTGGTTGTTTTCTTAAGACCCCAATGGCTCCTGCGTGTTGTACGGTGTTTTCAATTACATTTGTTATCCACAAAATATCAAATACATTTCACATTTTATTATATACTATAAATTACATTACCATTCTTAGTTATTCAGTGGGACAGAATGGGTATGAAAATCTCAACTTCGAAATACCTTTAAAGAGAACAATACATACAATAACACACTTTAAATATAAAGTTTGTAATGATTTATTTCAAATAGAGCCATACAATTCAACTCAATTCAAGCATGCTCAGGAATTTTGTCTATGCATACTTTTTGACCTTGTAGTTTTCTTGATCTCTGTTTCTCTGCCTGCATCGTAGGCTTCAACTATCTCAATAACCACTTCAGACGCCTTGTTAATCTCTGTGCCAAACGCAAAATCTCGATGGTCGAATTGTATGAATGGCTCGTCCACATAATATGAATTCTTCAACCGTTCATGCATCCATTGGATATCCTAAAACACAGTGTGACTTTATATTGGACCTTGATGGCAAACAATTTGTTATTATGTAAGAATTTACATATTTTATATATATATTAGTCAGTGGATCAGTCAGGAACGCCCAAGGCAGCGATTTCGTGGGTTCGGATCCTGGTACCTGCCACTGCTTTTTACCAGTACATTTCCCCTTGTAAAGTGGCTCATCTCTTGCCTTTCCGGATACCATAAGCTCAGGTCTATTGCATATTTGGACGGTCAAACGAACAAATGGGGAAAACCTATAATTATGTTTTTAATCTAACCTGTACAAAAATCACTTGATAAAGAATATGAAAATGAAAACGTTAAAAGATAATTGTATCCCTTCTATTTTAATGTTTTTTTGTATTATTTTGGCATTGATTAATTATACCTGCTAATAATCCGTGTATGAGCATAATTGAATGTTGGTTTCGTCCCAAAGTGGATACAGTAAAATTGCCAAATTAAATAAAACATTCTCATGAATATTTTGATTTCTTACCAAACGAGTTGTCACTAAATTATCTCAGATTTTCGTTTTAAAATATCATGTTTTTAAATTATTATTATTCAATATTAAAAAACAATTAATGCTAAGATATATTCTAGCTATTTTGTAATATTTACCCCTTGTCGGATCTATATTACATATTTTCAATGGACAACCTACCCTCTTATCTGCTTCGGAGTCCTGACCTCCCACTAGCAAGTACAACTCCTTCTCAATGGCTCCAAGGTCATACGCCAATGGCTCAGGCTGACCGTACTTAACAACGTTCGTTTCTGGTCCGTAATCGTAGTGCTGGAACCGTTCTTAAAAAAATCGTATAACAAATTATGAGACGTTGATGAAATCTATCATGAGGAACTGTAAAATTGTCATTTGTTTAAATTTAGTTTGAATTTTGTTGATGACGGTCTATAAATATAGTATTGGTCTACTATTTCAAATACACCTTAATTATTTGTAAACTAAGGGATTTTATTAAGTTTGTGTCAGTAATAGTTAATACGTGCCAGAATACAAATGTTAGAAAACCAAAACTCTTTAGCTAGTTTTTGCACACAACACTAATTTGAAAATTTAGCAGTACCAAAATATGTTTCGACTTATTATTAAAAATACTACAACTAATATCCTAGCGTATTTACCTGCTTCTGCAAGTTGGATAAAGTGAAGGAACGCCTTGACGGACGCACCACACGGGAAATAGGGAAGCGCTTCCAGAGAGTTCAACTGCAAAATCATAGCACTGAAGCTGTTAAACATTGCTTTACATTTTAAACTTTACATACTAGTTCTTATAATACTTAACCTTCATACATGAGAATACTATATATTATAATTTAGAAAATCGTAAAACATGGTATTATATTTTGAGATAGACAATAATGCACAATTGCAATGATTTTGAAAACCTAATTAAACATTTCGTAAATTGAAATAAAGGAATTCATGATCATTTGAAATTATGTAGGCGATTGACAAAAAAGCTATTTTGTCAATTTCAAGCTCGGTAGTTCAAGCTTGGTAGTTGAGAAGATCTTCGACAACTAATGAGAGGTTTGCCTATTCGATCCTGTGATTAGTACTTTTTGATGGTCCAAAACTGGATATAGGTTTACTTAATAGTTTTTCGTCATATCGCAGTGATACCAGCCATTTTTATAAATGCATTGTGAGTCTAAGGTAACAATTTTACTCCCTAGGGAGTAAAAAGACCTATTGTCCCTAGGAAGTAAAAATCAGCTGTTGTAAACAGTTTTAAATTTCGATAGTAGCAATCGCATGAATCGAAAATATTCATCGATTGTTTTATTAAGTTAGGTTTTGTACCGATTCGTCGTATAAAACAACGAATGTGTAGCAGACGCAACAAATAGTCAGCTGATCAGATACCCACAATTCTCTAACCACACAAAGTGGAAGGGGTAACGACCCCAGTCGCCAGCAACGAGTCTCTATCTGCCCCGTGTCTCCTTTGGTAGCTAGTCGGTAAAGGTTTCGTCGTGCAAATTAAATTCATCTCGCGGTGTTGGTCGGACAATCTTTATTTTCTAAAATCGTTTAGCCTATATCCCGAAGGGATATTATTGCAACGCGAGTGGAAAATAGAATCGGTTTTGTTTGTCAAACAAGTGTTAAAAAGTTTGTTTTTACCGGCCAACGCAATCCGCCATTTGGAAATTTCACGTTCGTCACACGAGTTCAAATCGATCGCGTTTTTTATCGTAAAAGTTACAATTCCTCATCCCTATCCCTTTATTTGTGTCAGTGTTTTTTGTGGACGTCCGAAATTGTAAGTAATTTGTGTTATGTATTGTTATATTAGCGAATTTCCCTATTGGGAAGTAGCTATTACCGTAGGTCTCATGGTAAGACCTAAGCCCGGGACCGATTTACTTTTTCATTTTGATGTCCCCAGAGGCCAAAAACACCATTCGTTCAAATTTATATATATATATATATATATATATATATATATATATGTCCATCCGCACGATAACTTGAGTAATTTTTGTCTGATTTTGATAAAATTTGGTTTGAAGGTGTAAGGCGGGATAAACTTTAATGAGTTCGCGAACCAGCATGATCGGACCATGGGAACGGGGGTTTATGGGGGGTTTTATGGGGTAAAAATAGGTTTTTCGCATTTTTGACCCTAAACAAAATTTCACAATTTCTTTTTAAACCATTTTTTACAGCTTAAAAAACTAATAATTTAGTATATTGAAGCGTTATTATGCACCTAATTGTTACGGAGAAAATTCAAAAAAATTGTAATTTTAAAATTCCCATGTTATTCTTATGGAGAATAAGTCAACTGTTGTAGTTTGCTTGTTTATGAACATATTTTGATTGATTTTGGAAAATACTTTTATTTCTTACTAAACTATTATCATTTTATAAAAAAAATCTTTTTTACCCTACCTGTTGCAGCAAACCTAAGTACTTATTAAACTAATTATATTTAAATAGGAAATACATGTGCTATTTTTATGGAGGCATTTTAGTGTAAATACAATGAGGCAAATGGAAATTCGCTTAGTCTGCAGGTTTGCTGCGGCAGGGGTATTTTAGAATTCAGTGAGTCGCACATGGTAAATTTTCCTGTTATATTTTGTTAGTACATGTTAAATAACCTCATGTTTCCAGGTTCGAGCTCAATTTGCTGATTTTTATATCCATTTATAGCGTAACAATCTGTATTATTTATTAAGCTGTGATGATCCAATAGTATTAAGAATAAATAGATGAAAATGTTTTGGTAGGGTAATTCAGAGTTACTTCATAAGATTTTTATAGTATTGGTATTTGTCACAGAGTCGTTATCGAATTTCATTGTTGAGTATTAAGGTACAATTCATTTAAGAGTGCCACAGTCAGTATTTAATTTGGGGGAAATAAATTAATATCAAAGGAGGGTGCAGGTAGCTGGTTCGACTAGATACGGAGGTGTTATCAGAGGTTGTGTCAGTTTGCATATGGAACCGCCAAAGTACCAAATTAGCCATAAAATAATAAGCAACATTCTAATAAATACTACTACGATTAGGCACAATATTGTTTAATCAGTTGGACTGCGAGACTCGAACTTCGTTTTTGAATCATTGGCCAACGAACAGGATTTGCTTGGTACTGGTCATCTCAACATTAAATTAAATACCACTCTTCCGTTGAAACTTTCGCGATCAGTGTGCAACCGCACCGTATCTTCCCTTTTGATAAATCCATTCAACATTCTCAAACAAAAACTTCAAATTGATTGTGTCACTCAAGGTCATTCAGTATTACATAAACACAACCTGCAACTGTTAATTGAAATCAATTGTATTTCGTAAATTCTGTATAATAAATCAAATTGTTACTAACTTTTTAGTTCTCAATAACCTTGGTAATTCATTATTAGCAACATTATTTAATTAGCAAATAAAGGTAATTCAGTAAATCATAGGTCACTACAAAAGATTCACCTTTTAAGTGCAACACTAAATACTAGTGTGGTAGTGAGCAGATTAAATTCAGTGTAGAATTAAGATTGGTTAATATTATTTATTAAAGGTATTGCATTCTGGAAGAACCTCAAACAGTACCAAGGACGTCCCATAAGGATCTCTAGGGAGTATTTTTATTTTACAGGGCCCACTCAAATATTTTTTAACACCAAGCTTCCACTGCCAAAGCTCTGTTTTATATTATTACTTTCCAAGTTCTTCCAACCTAGGGGCAACCAAGATTTGTAAAGAATTCACTTTGAGAGCATTGCAAGGAGTAAATATATTTAAATACAATATTTAAATACATAAGTCTATATTTTTTTTATTTTTCTTTACAGTTTTATCATATTGTTGAATTCTTGTATTGACAACATTCTGAACAATAGAGCTCTACGTGTTGTTGGTATAAAGTACAGTAAAACAATCGTAATAGGCAATATGAATAATAAACAGCTGCTTATTTGCATTAAGGGAATTAAAGCTGGAAGTCGTTTTTAAAAGGTTTTCTTGACACGAAAAGTATCTTTGTTGTCTAGCTTAGTTTTTTATGATGAAATATGACGAAAAATATAGTTCATCACACTGGCAAATAGTGTCTTTTCAACCTTCGCTCGTTTACCCCCTCAGCTTGCCTCGATCGTAAAACTTGTTCTCGGATCGAAAAGAGTCAGATTACGCTCTTGTGATAAAATTTACTATTTTTTTACTGAATGGCATGATCACTCTTCACTTATCTTATGCTTAAAACACACATCCTAGTGTGTGTTGGGATTGCGTTAATCTAATCCAGCGTGATTTAAAGACGAACAACCAAATCTCTTACGTGATCATATAGGTCCCTTCCATTGGAGCGGAATCTCAAAAGCCTCTCACAAAGCCAACTTAAAAACATTGTTTTACAAGCGTGGTATGATGCCAAAGCCACGTGCTTGTGAAGAGTGAAAACATCTCCTCGAAATAACGCTCCGTTCACTTTCTGCAACAAGACCAATAAATAGAAACACATGTAAAATATTTAGATTAGAAGTTAATCTAGATAATGAATAATACCAATATTTTTAGTTTGTAAACTGTGTAACATATTGGAAAACTCTATTTAATCTCTATGTTACTCTCTATAAACTGCGGGAGGGTGGATTCTATGTACATTTCAAAGTTATGGTTTCAGAATAAACTTAGCTCAGTTAGTCAATCAACAGAATGTGCTACTGTATGTTTCTTCTCTTACTTATATTACGATACGTACTAGAATACAACCATAAGTGATCATGTAACTATCACGTAGTATAATATTTGTATTCTACAACATAACCTTTTTCTGTGTATAGGGACTACATCAAATCATTCTCTAACAGGCTACATTCCTTCACGTTTACAGCTGAAGTAAGTTTAAATTGTACCGTACATAATTCTATAAGTGTTTTTACACCCGTAAACTACGTACTATATTTTTGTTGCTAATACAATCTGGTATTGCACCATAAAACTTGCCATCGGGTTGTCTGAGAAGGATTCTTCTGTTCAGTCGTAATTTGGGGGGGGGGTTTCGGAATCCATTTTTGAAAAAACAAAAATAGTTAGATTTTAAATACATAATTGAAATTATAATAAGGATTGAAACCTAGTGTATCCACTGAATGTCTAACCAATGTTCTAACTAAAAACAACCAATTTCAACTACTCCTTGTATCCTTGTTGTTGGGACCTTGTTTCGTTGCGTGAATACACTTACCAGATATATTTTTGCGAAAAACCGCTTGAACCTGTTGCTTATCAACCGATAATGCATGGGACAGGCCACGGGCGCTATGAGTGTGACACTGGCCACGTCATTCTCCACCACAGAGGCCTGAGTAGAGGCCAAGACCAGGAAATCTGTGGTTCCCATAGAGTAGCCAACATAGTGTACCCGGGCCACTCCTGTCTCCCGCTTGACTCTGGTTAAGAACGCTGGCAAGTCGTGGGTGCCGATTTCGTGGAAACTAAAAAATAAATTTGGGTTTAAGCAAAGAAAATAGATTTTCTTTGGTTTAAGTAATACGAGTCAATTTATCATTTAAATATACCTCGACAGATTGAAACTGTAAGAAATCAAATACATTACTAGGATTGCGCTACAAGATATTCCAATTGTTGAACGGTGACGGTCAAGTGTGAGAATACGGAAGTATAGAGTACTCACTTAAAATTAATAAAAGGGGAATTAAGTAAAGGAAAATCTCAAAAGCAACTTATAAAAATTGGAGAGGATCGTTGTAGGTGTCTAATAAAGAGTGGATGAAACAAGAGAAATTATGAAGGAGAGAAAGAGAAGTACAGTTTATGGAAAAGTAGGATTTAAAAAAGGGTCTTGCTGCAAATGATGAAGGGAATAAATGAAATTTTAAAAATATAAAGAGAACGGAAATCACAATTTGTGTGTTTTAACCTGAGAAATGGTCGGTACAAAGTATAACCTAAATCATAACTGTTTACTTCATTTGATAAACATTGCACAATAATGTAATGAGTAATTTAAAGGATGCTAAAAAAGAAAATAATTAGTAAAGTGAGTTTTGGCATAACGATACTAGGAATCAATTAACACAGTAATGTTCCTGAAAACCTACTTTATAGAGTTGTAAGCTGTTCATAAATCTTAATTGTTACTACAGTTATAAATAATTTAATGTAAGTAATAGTTAATTTTACAATATCTATACGATTCTAGGTAAATCAAAATGTATTCCTTTGTAATTTAAATTAAATTTAAATATATTACATTAGGTTTATATGTTAAGGTTAAATTAATGGTTCAGTAGTTTTTAAGAGCAAAATCTACAACCCTAGAAAAAATCTTACGACGCTCAAAGATGATACCGTGATCTTACCTTATCTTGGAACTCTTTATTATTTATTTGACTCCCTTTCAGGACGATTGATAACTTCACTCTACGCTTTTTAATTTTGTCTTTCTTCACGGAACGATTCAGTATAGTCAACAACTTACCTAAAATCCCAAAATTTCTTTTCGCTAGGTTTCATGTTTCTGTGCCTCATACAAAGAAATGTTCCTCTTGCATTTCCTAACCATACGTCATACCCCTTGTCTACGAGGTGATAAGCTGGAGAAAACACATAATATAAATAATTACGAAATAACATAACTTAAACATAAATCAAAACATAAATGGTACTGATAAAATATACTGAAAAAATAAATAAATTCACTGGCCGTAATCTTATACTAACTAGCTGTTACCCCAAGGGCTTCACCCCGTTTTAATTCATAACTATTAATAAAATTATTGATTGGTTAAGGTTGAAATAAACAAAACAGAATACAGAAATACAAATAAATAATTACACCTGATTTTAATAAGGAAATAAATTGAAGGAATAAGGACAGATGAGGTTTTTTTAACATTATGTAAAAGGAAAGTTCCCTTTGGAAAGCAATTACGACCTTAAAGGGTGATTTATGAAATAATGGATAGTTTTGCGCAAGGTTTCTCGTCATGACGAACATTTTAAGTATATGGTTTATGGGGGGTGTGTCTTGTAGTTTTCTCAAAAGTTCATGGGTACTTTTGGCTTTATATATAGATATCCGTAACAGCTGGTTTGGATGATTTTTGACACTTCCACAACGACAAAAAACATTACACATTTTAGATTAATGAAATTATAGATTAATGTATTTTGTACGAACTAAATTTCATAACAATTGAATGTTTTAGCGAATTTCCCTATAGGGAAGTAGCTATTACCGTAGGTCTCATGGTAAGACTTAGGCCCGGGACCGATTTACTTTTTCATTTTAATGTCCCCAGAGGCCAAAAACACCATTCGTTCAAATTTTTATATATGTATATATATATAGGTATATATATATATATAGATTTATATATATATATATATATGTGTCCGTGAACACGATAACTTGAGTAATTTTTATCCGATTTTGATGAAATTTGGTTTGAAGGTGTAAGGCGGGATAAACTTGAATGAGTTCGCGATCCAGCATGATCGGACCATGGGAACAGGGTTTTATGGGGTAAAAATTGGTTTTTCTCACTTCTTACCCTCAAAACACAAAATTTCCCAATGTTTCTCTAAACCTTCTTAAAGAGCTTAAAAAAACAAACAATTCAGTATATCAAAGTGTTTTTGTACGGATATTGGTTACGGAGAAAACTAAAAAAATGGTAAATTTAAAATTCCCATGTTATTCTTATGGAGAATATTGTAAAATGTTGTAGTTTGCTTGTTTATGGATATATTTTGATCAAACTTGGCAAATTTATTTATTTTATAGTAAGCTATCAATATTTTACTAAAAACACACTACTTTATTAGTTTCCTTGTAGCAGCAAACCTAGGTACTCGTTAAACCTAATGTTATTTAAATAGATCAATTGAAAATCAATTCGGCCAAATGGAAATTCGCTTAGACGGCAGGTTTGCTGCGGCGGGGGTATTTTAGGATAATAACCATACAATTTCACGCACATACTAAATGTTAAAATAACATCTTGATCAGCATTGTACGTGTTATTAAATTTACGGAATGTAAATAAAAGAAACGTCTTATAACACTTAAAACATATATTTACGCTTGTACTGTTACTCACAAGACGGCAAATATACAAAAAAAGATGGTAAGTGATGATCGATTTCGATTGGTACTCCAATCATCTTCACCTATTGGGTCTGATGATTGGAGTGTCCAATCGAAATCGATCACCACTTACCATCTTTTTTTGTATATTTACCATCTTGTGAGTAACAGTACAAGCATAAATATATGTTTTAAGTGTTATAAGACGTATCTTTTATTTACATTCCGTAAATGTTTAACGAATACTTATGGCTTTGGTTGGCCTAAAACAAAAACGTACTGACCCAAAAGTAGGTTCAACTATGAAAACTACGGTAACTCGGCGAGACATTCACGATAAATATTATACGATATAATGACTTATTTAAACTAACCCAAGCTTTTCCGGTTGGCTATGCTCAACGGCGAACATCCTGTGATCCCGTCCATGATGAAAATGGCGGATAACTTTGGTTTCTCTTCTTTCAACATTAAACGATGCAATGTCAAATAATAGTGATCATCAGTTTCAACGAGGTATGTTTTTAAAGTGTAACCCCATTTAGTCACAGTCTTTTCCAAACGAGCCTGTGAAGATACGTCAAGTGAAAATAAATACAACAATTGAACAATTAGTGGTAATTTGGCAAGCCTAGGCATTTAAATAAATGAAGTACGTATTTAGCACCTTTTTTATCTGACAAAAACGTAACCATTAACAAAAATAAATTATTCTTTATATACATTTTAAATGAAAAACTTTAAAATAAACATTAAATGAGTAACTCATAACTCTCTGAACTTTCACCACAAAAAAAGGTATCAAAGGAAGTGTAAGGTAATAATCCATCTACTAGAGGTCATGAAAAGAACGATAAATGAAAGTAAGATTCAACAAGCATTAAGAAATTAACGAGACCAACATTAACTAACCAACATAAACCAATGTTTCAGTTAATTTGTGATGGCGAGTTCACGTAATCTAATATACTGTCGTAATTCACTATCACGATAAGAAAAAAGTCAAAGTGTTCACACAACAAAGTTTTAGCGAATTTCCCATATAGGGAATAAGCTATTACCGTAGTACTCACGGTAAGACCTGGACCCGGGACCGATTTTTTTTCGTTTTGAGGTCCCTAGAGGCCAAAAACACCATCCGTTCAAATTAATATATATATATATATATATATATATGTGTGTGTGTGTGACTGTGTGTGTCCGTTAGCGCGATAACTCGAGCAAAAATGATCCGATTTTGATGAAATTTGGTACAAATGTGTAAACCTACGTTTATTCGAAAGAGTTCGCGAACCAGCATGATCGGACCATGGGAACGGGGGTTTATGGGGGCTTTTATGGGGTAAAAATGGGTTTTTCCCATTTTTGACCCAAAAAACATAAAATTTTGCAATTTCTTTCTAAACTATTTTGTAGAGCTTAAAAAAACAATTATTTAGTATATTGAAGCGTTATAATGTACCAAATGGTTACGGAGAAAATTCCAAAAAATTGTAAATTTAAAATTCCCATGTTATTCTTATGGAGAATAAGTAAACTGTTGTAGTTTGCTTGTTTATAAACATATTTTGCCCAAATTTGGAAAATGTTTTTATTTCTTACTAACTATTAACATTTTACATAAAAAACACTTTTACCCTCCCTGTTGCAGCAAACCTAAGTTTGTGTAAAACTGATTCTATTTAAATAGGGAATAAATGTGATATTTTTAAGGAGACATTTTAGTGTAAATCCATTCAGGGAAATGGAAATTCGCTTAGTCTGCAGGTTCGCTGCGGCGGGGGTATTTTGTTTTAAAACTGTTCGTTTTACTTATCATGATCGCAAATTTCTACTATATTCTATTGGATAATAGACACCAATAATTATACGGTCATAAACTCATATTTCATAGTATTTTTACAAACAACGTTGGAACAAAACTAATGTATAGTGTTTTTTGTAAAAGTTTAACATGTAAAGCATTAAGTAAGTAAGATATTTCGTTTAGATATATGTTACTTACATTGAGTTGCTCTGCAGTTTTACCAACCGATATCTTTGTTTTATCAGACTTTGAAGCCGAATAACTTTTCGTCACTGTCACGAACATACATAAACACACTATCAAAAAAGTAACTTTAACAACACCCATTATTAGAAGTGTAATTAAATTACTGAAAGAAACTATACATGTAGAACAGTGTTACATCGCTGGCGTGGAGAGCTAAAAGAGTCACTTATGAACGTTTTACTCGTAGAGAAATGACAAACGTATTGCAAAGCGAACAGGTGTTTTAAACAGTTAATTGAACTCCATCAATCATATTTTAAACTGACATTCGTTTCGAACAAATTACAAACAGTACTTGATCGAGCTTTTTTCGGATTGAAAAAACAAAATTAATAGATAAGTTAAAATCAACATTTTTATAAATAAAATATTTATTACGTCATCAGTGTGAACGCAATTTATACAAAACATATATAAAACACAAAGTACCCATGAACTTTTGAGAAAACTACAAGTCACACCCCCATAAACCATACACTTAAAATGTTCGTCATGACTAGAAACGTTGCGCAAAACTATCCGTTACTTCATAAAGGGCAAGGTTGTAATTCCAATTCAGAACTTTCCATATACCTAATGTTACAAATACCTCAGCTGTACTCATTTGTATGTTATTCTTTCAATTTATTAGGTACCTTATTAAAATCAGGTGTGATTATTTGTTTGTACACTGCATTCTGTTTTGTTTATTACAGCTTAACTTCACCAATCAATAGTTTTATTAATGTTTTATTATTTTTAATCAATGAAATCAAACGGGGTGAAGCGCGTGGGTAATGGCTAGTTTGAATAAAACTCATTGAGTGAGTTTGAACTTCCAAGATTATTCCTACCCTTGGTTACAAATGCATTTGATGATCATCAGAATAATAATGCTATGTTTATTAAGTGATTTAATCCTATTTAATGTATTTCGAATTAAAAAATGGTGTTACCGTTGAAAGAATAAATAAACTAGGGTTGCTTTCAGAGAGGTGAAAGCCAGTTGAGCGGAACAAACGTGATTTGATATTTGTATAAGTAACTAAATGTAAAAAAGTTAATAGATGTTCTAATGCTGGTTTTATTGATTAAAATTATAATAATTCAGATTTGTTTTTACTACATCTTGTTATTCAGATACCTCTTCCAAAAGTGCATTATGGTAGTTTTGACCAGGAAAATATTACAGTAGTTGGAATCTGGTATTAACATCCAAAAAGGGCATTAAAGTATAAAAAAGAGAAAGGAAATTTAACATTCAAATTCAACTGTAGCCTACAACAAAAACATTGGACTTCATTTTTCACCCTTACAATCGGTTAAAGTAGGCTATATTAAAGTAAAAAAAAAACAGTAACTATTAAAAAAACTAGTATTAAAGTATTACAACAGGAGGGAAATTTGACATTTAAATTCAACTGTGCAACATAAACATTGGTCTTCATTTCAACCCCTGCAATCGGTTAAACTCAGCTTTCTTTGCTAGAAATAATTTATCAGGCAATTAATTATTTACTTATTACGGTTGTAACTGGACGTATGTATAGTCCGTGGCTTGGCAATCAAATAACAGTATTTATATAGGATAGGCTACCTACTGTTGTCAACATTTTGCTAGAATCATTGACTTTATATAAAGTCAATGCTAGAATACAGTAGATGGTTTGTTAAGACCATATGCAAGCATTTTTGAAATCGTTTCCCCGTTTAACCAACTATTCCAAAAGATAAAAATTATATGGTGCAACACAAATAAACAACTCGATCATCTACCTATAACCTACACTACACTTTACCTCCCTAATCTAACCTTACTTAAAAACACTTAATGTAGTCACGAATACTCATAAACCCCGACCTACCTTCCCCATATGCATAAATTAGATCAGTGTTCAATCTGCGTTTTATTAATAAGTGTAATGACTTACTGCACCGTCGATGTAATTCAACATAATATAACCTGTGATGTATTATCGGATTAAATATCGATTTCGATGCGATTCGATATATCGCTTACTTAATCCTGATTTCTAACATTGTCTGTTTCTAATCAGCTGGCAACACAAATAGGTTCCCAAGAAAGTATTCACTGATCCGGATCCCTCCGCTCCTTGTTTATGCTCCGCGCATTGAGAAAGTAGTTCCGTATATTTTCTCGATTTTCAGTGAATTCCGCGCCTTAAAAAATGTTTTAATGGCATTTTTTGTTTTATTACAATCATAGGAATGGTTTAAAAACGTTTAAAAGAAACGTCTAGAAAGTTCAGAAATACCTTATGATTCTCTTGTTTACATTTTTCTTGTAAACAAAAAACTGTCATATGGCTACTTTAGTCCCATAAGCCTAATGTTAAAATTTGGAAATTTTAAGTTCGTTTTAAATTGCATTAGCATTATCTAATTGAAATTTGTTTGTTTATTAACCATCTCACTATTAGTCTAAGTAATCTTGTTAAGTTTAGCTGAAATGTGTTCTGCCGTTATTGAGTGATGTTGCTTTATTTGTTGCATTGAAGTTGATCCCAAAGAGCTACGCTCAATAAATAAACTAGGGTTGCTTTCAGAGAGGTGAAAGCCAGTTGAGCGGAACAAACGTAATATTGATATTTGTATAAGTAACTAAATGTAAAAAGGTCAATAGATTTATTTACTAATGCTGGTTTTAAAGATTAAAATTATAATAATTCAAATTTACCTCTTCGAGAAGTGCATTATGGTAGTTTTGACCAGGAAAATATTACAGTAGTTGGAATCTGATATTAACATCCAAAAAGGGCATTAAAGTATAAAAAAGAGAAAGGAAATTTAACATTCAAATTTAACTGTAGCCTACAACAAAAACATTGGACTTCATTTTTCACCCTTACAATTGGTTAAAGTATTTAAGTATAAAAAAACAGTACCTATTAAAAACGAGTATTGTATAACAACAGGAGAGGAAATGTGACATTTAAATTCAACTGTGCTGCATAAACATCGGTTAAACTCAGCTTTCTTTGCTGGAAATAATTTATGATTGTTAATACCAAGTATTCTTGATGGAGGATATGATTGTAATGTAACTGGAATGTAGGTCTTCTGCCATTATTAGGACGATTTAGCGACGGCATTTTAATACTGGCCTTAATAATACCATTGGCCATTGAATACAGTAGATTTTGATGAAAATGCTGGCTACAAATTCAACATGGGGATGGAATGTCTAGTTGTATTGATAGTCAAAGATAAAACAAAGGCCTACGAAAAATGTAGGGCTATTTTAATGTAAGACTCAAATGTAAAACGCCTTTAAAAGACTAAAATAAACTGAATTATCAGTCATGTATTTCAATGTGTAAAAACGTAAAAACTGCAAAAAGACTTACTTATTGAACAATAAAATAAGATGGCTGAAATGTAGGCATAAACATAAGTAAGAAGTAAACATCGCATTCAGCTGATTTAAGTGAAAACAGAATAACATAATAAATAGAGAAGACATGCCTTAAATATACAATGTAGACAATATAATTAGAAATTAGTAGCCTACTTCTGGACAGGCCTAGACAATTATCCATACCGTGGTTAAAAATGTACTTCTATAAGCCCAGGTTTACTTATTACGGTTGTAACTGGACGTATGTATAGTCCAGTGGTGTAGTATTAGTAGTGGTGTATGTTAGTGGCTTGGCAATCAAATAACAGTATTTATATAGGATAGGCTACTGTTATCAACATTTGAAATGACTGAATTGTTACCAAATTACTGTTTCACAAAATGCAGATTCCATTTTCAGCCGAGCCATTAAAATGAGGATTTGCCGAACAATTATTAATATTACAGAATAGTATATAATGATATACAACTTTTCACATTCCATAAATTATATGTTAGTTTTGCTATGGTCAAAGGTCCAAATCCAAAAATGTTCTCTTTTCTTTTGGTCAGTATGTAATAATTTGCTAGAATCATTGACTATTGAAAGCTAGAATGCTAGAATACTGTAGATGGTTTGTTAAGTTAAGGCCATATGCAAGCATTTTTGAAATCGTTTCCCCCTTTATCCTTAACCAACTATTCCATTCCAAAAGATAAAAATTATATGGTGCAACACAAATAAACAACCCGATCACCTACCTATAACCTACACTTTACCTTCTTAATCTAACCTTACTTCAAAACACTTAATGTAGTCACGAATACTCATAAACCCCGACCTACCTTCCCCACATGCCTAAATTAGATCAGTGTTCAATCTGCGTTTTATCAATAAGTGTAATAACTTACTGTAACCGTCGATGTAATTCAACATAATATGAGGTATTATCGGATTAAATACCGATTTCGATGCGGTTCGATATATCGCTTATTAAATCCTGATTTCTAACATCGGCTGTTTCTAATCAGCTGGCAACACAAATAGGTTCCCAAGAAAGTAGTCACCGGTCCGTATCCCTCCGCTCCTTGTTTATGCTCCGCGCATTGAGAAAGTAGTTCCGTATATTTTCTCGATTTTCAGTGAATTCCGCGCCTTAAAAAAGTGTTTTAATGGCATTTTCTTGATTATTAAAATCATAGGAATGGTTTAAAAACGTTTAAAAGAAAAGTATAGAAAGTTCAGAAATACCTTATGATTCTCTTGTTTACATTTTTCTTGTAAACAAAAAAACTGTCATAGCTACTTTAGTCCCATAAGCCTAATGTTAAACATTTGAAATTTTAAGTTCGTTTTAAATTGCATTAGCATTATCTAATTGAAATTTGTTTGTTTACAAACCATCTCATTATTAGTCTAAGTAGTCTTGTTAAGTTTGGCTGAAATGTGTTCTGCCGTTATTGAGTGATGGTGTTATATTGTTTGCATTGAAGTTGATCCCAAAGAGCTTCGCTCGCTTCGCTCGCTCCGCTCAACTGTGGTTGCTTTCAGAGAGGTGAAAGCCAGTTGAGCGGAACAAACGTGATTTGATATTTGTATAAGTAAATAAATAAATGTAAAAAAGTCAATAGATGTACTAATGCTTGTTTTATTGATTAAAATTATAATAATTCAGATTTGTTTTTACTACATCTTGCTATTCAGATACCTCTTCCAAAAGTGCATTATGGTAGTTTTGACCAGGAAAATATTATCAGTTTATTTGGTGCAACACAAATAAACAACCCGATCACCTACTTATAACCTACACTTGACCTCCCTAATCTAACCT